CAAAACCGGCAATAAACGTTTAAATTAATCGCACTCGCAATGTGTTAAACACCCTCTCGACCCTATTTACCTTTCGACAGAGCCCTATTGTGCGCCACATTATACAATGCGTGCTTAGAGCCCTTAGAGAGTAAACCCCTTATTAATGGACCGCTTTAAAATCACACTTTCCCATACAGGCTGGGCCGGAGAACGACAATGTGAAAGCTTCGCTTACGCTCATTTTATTCGGGAAAAAACGGCGCTGGACACGCTGGACACTCGTCAGTGTGGCTGTATTGAATTTAAGGCAGAAATTCCTGAATAATGCATGGGTTGTCGAGTAAGACACCCCATCATCGAAAATGAGTGGAAAAAGATTGGCGAAATGCTCCGAAAAGATTGAAGACTGCCCAATCGAGCAGGTGAATAAATGTGGAAAAAAATCGATTTCTATATGAACATGAAGGCTGGCCAGACAGGCGATTGAGGAAATGCCGATATCGACGTAATATGGGTTAACCTATTGTCCCTTTTGTGTCGAAGGGCTAATTTGCGTAACCACGTAATTCTAAAACTTCTTGAATTCAAGCATTTTTTGATGAAACTGCCAACATTTCCCCATCGATGGTTCACTTTTTAAAAAGGCCATTTATTTCTGTCTAGAATTATGTAGAAATGAGCATTCTTGCTCATTTTGCCTCCGAGGAATGAGCAAAAACGGGACGGAAAACATGGAATTTTGGCATAATCTTGCACCTAAGTCTCTGGGTCAAAACTATTCGAATTTCCTCACTAACGTTATTACGGCTGAATCGACTTTTCAATTCTCTATCCAACGATGCCAAAACGAATTCTGTGGCTCGACTGGTTCTTGAGAAACTTCGAATAAAGGCCATTTAGTTATCTCTGGAATGATGTAAAAACGAGCGTTCGTGCTCATTTTGCTTCCGAGAAACATGCAAAACGGGACGGAAAACACGAAATTTTGCAATAATCTTGCACCACCTTTGCACAAAACGACGATCATTTTACTAATTTCATAGATAACAGAAGACTGTATTTTTTCTACATAACTGACTTTAAAGCTGGATCCGCCCCTGCTGGAAATCGGGGAAAATACTAGGAAAGACCGAACATTAACTGGTTATTCCTGCTGTGCCTTTTCACCCACTTTACACTGGCAATCAGAAGATACTTACAATGCCGGAAACAGCGAAAATTTGCCTGAGTAATTCCCATTTTGCCCTACTGCGTTCGCTCATTTTTACACTTTTTCAACACATGCCAATGCACCAACTTCCTACAGATAATGTGGATAGTTGCGCAAAAACCACCACGAATCGCACAATAATTTACTTGAGATTAACCATAGTTAGATTATGATTTCTAGTTATCTTAGATAAGTACAGTGGCGGTTCCGCAAAAGTGCACTTGCGCCCTCCCGAATTTTCAATGTGTCTGCATCATTTTTGAAATAATTTTATCATTAGTGCAGTGCAAGAGCAATTGGTGAAGACTGGAAATAAACGACGTTTCAGCAAGTCATTGTGCACATTTAGTACGTGCACGTACGTGTATTTTGCGCATTGTAGATTGGATTGGGTTACTTCGATTGCGCAAAGTTCCCATTGCGCATTAAGATCCTTAATTGGTTCGATTTTCCCGGCGTGGGACCCAAAACATTGTTTTCCTGCTCCGTTTCTCCAATCTTAACTAACGTGAGCATAACAGCGACGACTAAGAAAAACAACTTCTATTAAAACAAATAAACATAAATAATGTTAAAACGAATGGTTTTCTAATAATAAATATTCTGGTTCTTATTGTTGAGGGCCACGGGGGTGCCAGTGACGCCTCGAGTGCCTTTAGCGGGCGCCCCTGGGGGTGAAAATCGATCATTGTCGTCGTAGAAAACCAAGTCGTCACTAGGGGAGGGTGGCTTCCTTTGGTCGGTCAATTTAGCCCTTGGAATCGCCTTTCCACTAAAAAACTCATTTATTTGATTCGATTGAATAATCGACTGCTTTCACTCTGAGTCCAATCAATTTATTGAAACTGAACCCTCCATTCAGGAACGTAGCTGGTTATCATTTTCCTCACTTATCTCACTTGCACACATGCGACTGTGTGGGAGATGCAAGATGTACTGCGGGTTGCTACGTTCGAACTTGCCACTTTTGCGACTTAAATCAGATCAATTTCAAGATGGACAAGTTTGGAAAAGTACATTTTTGCGGACTGAAATGCGCAGAAATTATTGAAGAATTGGCGATTTGCGGGTTTTAAGGCGCCCTCGATCGCAAATTGTTCAGTTTTTACTTGCAATTTTTCAACTATTTAATTAGTTTTAGGCGAAGTTTCAGAAGCAAATGAAGTCATTTTTGGTCAATATTCGAGTTTTAGGCGCCAGCTTCTGAAGATTCCTCTAAGACACCTTCAGAGGATAGTTTTAATTTTGAATCACCCAGTATATACAGGGTTATTCACGCTATACGGCACGGAAGTTTACGGCTAAACCGTT